GAATTTCACACCTGAATGTCACAAAGCTTCAACTACTGCCATGGTAAATCCAAATCCTTATTCAATTCTTTTTTGTGTGAAATGTCTTTTGTCAAAAGCTTTGGTGCTGCTTGGCATTGTTTGCCTGAGAACTCTACTGAACCTCGCAGATTCAAAAGATACTCCCAATACTGGTATCTGTTGTTTTGATGATGATCTTGTAGCATCCTGTCTAAAATTGGGCACACACTTAACAACTGTCAGGCTAATTATACATGTGATTAAGACATGATCACTGGCAAATGGCCCAGGTCTCTTCCAGTCAGACTGAGCCAGTGTTTGGAGTCAGCAGATAGCCATGTAGTGTGTGTCACAAAAGAACTCGAGTCTCAATTTTTAAGAACCAGCGACTGGCATCATCTGCTTGTTCAGCACTTCAGCTGTAGTATATCAGTCATCTATGTCAATTTGGCACAATCAATCTCTGGAGAAAACTCACCTTAAATGTTTATGTAGTTACAAGAATATTTTGCATGGACACCAGTAGGCTGGACATGGATTGTTTTGGTATGTTTTACAAAGAAGTGATATGCACATTTATAAAACATTTACAAAATTGAACCAGCTTTACCGTTAAACTGACACACACACACACACACACACACACACACACACACACACACACACACACACACACACACACACACACACGTTGTATTATTTCCACCTATAAATATTTTTTTTCCCCAGAAGTTAAAAAAATGAAAATGCCAACAAAGACCAGCAGAAAGCGGAGAGAAGAAATGTGAGTTTTTTGATGGTTTTTCAGGTTGTGAATAGAACAAAAATTTCTAAATGGGAAAAAAGTAATGGAGGGAAAAATACCTTGGCAGATGTAAAGAAAGAAAGATTAATAAACGCTCGGCAAGGTTAATGGCAAGGTTCGCCAAAAACGCCGGGCACATCAACCATTTTTACACACCAACAATCACAGCTGCAGCTATTTATAGTACGAATAATTAATCCTCCAATTAATAATTAAACAGTTATAAGATGCCTGGCACAATTTAACACACACAATGAATTATTTACAAGGCATGAATGGTACATTGTACATATTAATATTAATGTCTGAATAGGAAAAATTCTCATTTTGCATTTGAACATGACACATCAGATTTCCAAAAAATGAGGACATTTTCTCTAAGGAATGCCTGTGGTTTTAATGATTTTTTTAAATCAGTTTTAAATAAAATATAAACAAACTAAAGTTCCCTAACTGAGACATTTCAAAAACAATGGCTACATAAACTCTTTTCCGCATGTCAAATCTTTTCCTCATTAAACAAACATGGTCCAGGGTGTGTTCAAATGACCACAAGGCGATGGCAATGATTACACAGCCAGTGTAGTCTCACCCAGTCCTTGTCCTTGTAACCTGAACATCCTCATTACAGCTGCAGAGGCTGCAGAGCTCTGAGCCTTTATTCTCAACAACCATGATGAAATTATTTGACTTATTATTATCAGTCCTTTGAGACGAGAAAGATCTTTGTTGCTTTTACTCTTATGGCAGCAGGACTCTGGTGATTTATTTTATGTCCATGTATCTTCACATTGCCTACATATTTTTTATTCAAACGTTAAAACTCACTATAGTACATTGTATGCTTGTGTTGGACAGGCCACTTTGTCATTTTATAGACCAAAGCGCTGGTAGTAGTAGGAATGTTTTCCCAGGAAATTTTATGTAAAAGTATAAAATAACTGTAACACTAACAACAACTAGAGTAATTTAACTTTATAACTTGAGAAGCGCTGCAAAACACTGCCACAAAATAAAACAGAATGTTTTTTGTTTTTGTTTTTTTACCTTGAATGTTTTATTTTCGTTCAAGTCTTTGTAACCAGCTGCTTAAATCACTGCTTTCCCACCACATAACCATATCAGTAATTTCCATCATATTGTTTACTTTTGGGCTGCAGAATAGTTTTTTGAATATCTTCCAAAGCACTGTGCTTTGGTGGAGTTTGCTGAAGGTACAAAATCTTTATCAGAGGCTGAGATTTGCCTCCAGCTCTGAGTCTTGCTAAGGCTTGTCTTGTTGTTGTGTGAACTTGGATATGTAAACACATGGCATTGCGATAGCAAGGATATTGTGAAATATTCCACTTTTAAATCACTCCAAAAAATTATACATGGATGACATGAAATGGCACAGCCCAGTCACACAGTGTATGACAAGAACTTTTATTGTGAAAAGACGGAACAAGAAGGAGCCCTTTCGCACACTCCTAGAACAAATCTTATTTTGGGTATGGGCTGTTTTTCAATATGCACAATGTGTGTAGTTCTGTACTTATGAAATGTAATAAGTAGCAACCCCAGTACACTTCCAATTCAAAATTGCTGAAAATGCCCAGATGTGTTCTTGCTCCGCCCACTCTATCGAGGGTACATTAATCATGACTTGTGTGTACTTGGTGCAGCCAAGTACCCCAGAATGCATTTCATCTGAAACTCAAAAGCGGCAATAGTGGAGGACAGCGGCCAAAACTGTAAGTAAAATTTAAAATATTACTGTCTTTGATGAATTAAACAAACTTTTAAAATGTTTTTAGGTATGAATGCAGATTTGTAAACTTCAAATATCTGTTTGATTTATCAGCAAGACATTGCCTGCTTGCAAAAGTGCTCCGATGTTTTTGTAGATGTTCTGCTGGTCTAAATGCCAGCTGCCCCACTAGCTGTCAGCTGACCACTCATTCAAGGATCATTATACCTGGCAGAAAACCTGAGTGCTGGCACATCATTTTCAAAACCCTTTCGCCACTCAGTGAAAGTTAAGCACTAGATATAATTCACTCATATGATTTCTAACTGTTGATGTTTCGTTTATTTCAGTGTTTTACTTGTTTCTGAGAAAATTGGTTTGTTCCCTAAGGTAGGAATGTTCTGTACTTATTGTAACAGCAGCTTTTCCTGAATTAAAACGAACATTAAAAATATTTTAATCCAGGAGGAAAGTATGAGCCTTTTCTCTGGAAGCAGAAACATCTGGGCCAGCATGTTTATGCTGTTCATGGAGACAGATGTCAAGCTATGAAACGATAAACCATAAATGATCAAATTATGTTTTTAATATTTACTCAACTCTATTCTAAAAGCCAGCTGTCTGTTGTAAGTTGTGAGAGTCTACTAGAATAAAAATGAAATCATTCTAGCATCTGAACAGTTTGTCTTTGTTCAATAAACAGCGTGAAACAGATCATATGAATCACTAATAATAATCATAAAGACTAAAAGCAGTGAGGTTGCTCTGAGTGCTCAGAGTAGAAAAGTGCCATATAACAACCAGTCACTTCCTATTTCAGTAACATGTGCATACATGTGCCATATAAATTACATTTTAAATCTAGAGGTGCTGACTACTATCATATTAGTCTTGTTTTAAGAGCTAAAGAACAGTCACCTCATTAACCCATTCAAACTTTCTTCTATGCTTTTTCTGAGTGAGTGCTTTCTATCTAACATTCACATTCCAATGGATGCATCGGAAAGCAACTTTGGGTTAGCATCCTACCCAAGGATATTTGGCACGCCAGTTTGGAGTAAACAGGGATCAAACCACCAACCATGCGATTAGTAGATGACCTGCTTCACCTCCTGAGCTACAGCCAACAACAAGTGTTTACTGCAATTTTTCTAAATTAAGCTATTTTCCAAATCTTTCTATATTATTTCACCTTGATGGCTTTTTTATGCTTATTGTTCTTCTTCAAAGAAATCTAGTAATTAAGCGTATCATGGGCAATTTCCACCGTAAATATTAATCCGTGAAATTAAGGGGAATGGGAGTAAAAAGATAGCCAAGATGGGGGAATAGCCTCCAGCCCTCCCGCTACCCTAAAAAGGATACGCGGAAGAGAATGGATGGATTGGAGTAAAAACATGGAGATGAGGTGGGCTGAGCTGAGATGTCATGTGATCAGATACACTGCCATCCCACCTGTCCTCTGGAAGCTCAGACTTCTGCATGAACAAAGTACTAGCAAAGTACACAAGTACAAACTTGCGTACTTCGGTATTGAGAAACAGTCATGCACTGAACAGCAATAGCTAAAAAGACACAGCAACCACATAAACACAAGCTTGAGTAGCCCACAGACCTGGTCCACACATTTCTGACACTGCCCCCTGGTGACACTGCACAGCTACAACATGTACGTAACAGTGTGTTCTCCTGACAAGGAAGCACATTCAATGGAAAGCAAAGGTTTTCTCCTCTGATGCGGGTGGTAAATAAATGCGCACCTGCTGAAAACTTCCTAGTTTGTCCTGTTGATGTGGGGGTTTTTGTTTGTTACACTAAGAGGGCCCAGTACCACCCAATGACCCCCCCGACACGCCTCTGAGATTAGCATGAATATTAAGGCGGTTTGTCCAAAAGATCCATATTTCAGCCTTTAGCAGATGGGGTGCCTGATATTTACAGCATTACTATGAGGCAGTTCAGCAGACTAAACATGCAGCATTAACAAGGCTGCAAAGTACTGATGCTGTTCAGTGGAAACCTGCAGGGTAATGTGTGATAAATCATGCAGGGTGTAGGTGCATCTGCGCTATGCGGGCCTACCTGTCCTCCTCAAATACTCCAACAAACAGGTGCTCTTTCTCCGCTGGTCAGAGCCACAAATGAACGCCAGCGAAAACTTCATTTGGCATTTACTAGCAGGTAGTACATACGCTACCTACAGGAGAGGGTTTATACCCTGTAGAGGAGTGCTGACAGTTTGCTTTCTCTTAAAAGCCACATTCAGGACGGTTCGCGGGTCTCCACGCGCGAGGAAAACTTCCCGTTAAACTGTCCGTCTCGTGAACGAGCAGTTGGTTCAAACACGTTCAAACAAAACACGGAGTCCTGAAGCTGAGCTAAAGCCGGTCTGAAGTTAAACCAGGCACCCGCAGGGCAGCAGCCGACCGCTCATCCCAAAAACTGTCACAAAAAGCGGACACTTACCTCAAACCACTGTCCGCGGACGACCAGGAGGAGGACGGGAGAGGAGAAAGCTCAGCCGGTCAGCGACTCCAAAGCCTCCGAAAACACTTTGCTGCTGTTGTTTTTGTCCGTTAACTGAATTTAAGTCCCGCTCCGGCGTCACTTTGTATCCGGACGGAAGCTCACAACGTGGAGTGAAGCCGGTGGCGGCGGAAGCAGCAACAACAACAACGGCAGCAGCACCAACGGTCTCCGGCCAGCCTGCTGCCTGTCAGCGCTCAGCGCAGGGAGAGAGAGTGGAGACTGACGCCGCGCATGCGCACGACGATCGCTACTGCAAAAACAGAGATCGTCTAATGAGCAGTTGCAGTCCAGTTTGTCTCTATAAATGGGGTTTGTGCCCTGGTCACACTATTTTTAGAGTACAGTACAGCTTTCAGATTTAGTGACATTCAAGAATTCAAGCAATATTTTTACATTCTGTCCTTTTCTGCCTCTGGAAGCAGTCTTACATTTTCAGATAAATAGGACCAGGCAATATAAAAGCTGCAGTCCCCCATTAAAAAAGTTTTTAAAAAGCAAAGCAAAACAAAACAAAGATTTTGGCATAAAAATCTGTTTGTTGGGACCAGTCTTTTTTCCCCTATATAACATTTTAACCTGCAGGGATGACATATATGTTCTTGCATTCTGTATATTTCCCTGGAATTTAAACAATAAAGAGAAGAAAAACATAGAGAGAAGGAAACGTGACTTTTATTTTGGGCTGTCAACAGAACAAAAATGTCAAATGGAAAAAAACAGCAATGGTGGGCAAAAGAAACAAGTATTTGCTCACATTTTAATACAAGAGTCTGTTTGGTTTTGGACCAATCTTATATTTTCTAATAGAATCTTAGGCCATTTACCATTTTAACAAGCGGATTTTAACCCATAGAATTTCACAACCTTTAACCTCTATAATGAAAAGTCATAATTGAAATAAAAGGGGGTAGCATTAAATCTGTTAAAAGTCTAAAAGGTGCACATTTAAAATTCTGTAGTTATATCTTTCCAAAATGTAAAAACATATGAGAATGTGGGCTTGTTTCTTTTTTAAAATAATTACACTAATTCTTTAATTATCTTTGTCCCCTTTTCAACACCTAGTCCACTTAATCCCAAGGGATAATCTGGCAGAATGAGATGCACACTAAATTCCTCCATGATTCTGTAGAAATTATAAGATTAAATATATTAAAATTATATAGGTTAAGAATCCTATAGCATACAACCCACCAGGTCC